GGCCTTGCATAGTATGTAGCCTGTCTTGCTTCCCCCAAACTCAACCCTACTAGCTCTTCTAACATCCAATTCCTCCCCATGTTCATTAATCAGAGAAGCTTCCATTTTCTATAGAAAACCCAAGGGCCAGCCTGTCACACAGGCCTGGGGGTCTGCTTCTATCCTACAGTGGCCATAAAATATAACTGCATGATTCATAAGGTGTGGCCAAATGCAAATTTATTTTTGTATCCCACTGCCCCTTTAAAATATACAAAGGATGGGATAGAGGGTGTGCAGAAATCTTACACTGGCCCTGGGGTAGAAACTTGGCCAGAAGCCATCAACTTCACTGCTGCTCTTAAGCAATGTCAGACCTTTGGCCCCTCTAAGTCAAAAACACAGTCTCCACTCCATTTTAATCAACATCTCAATCTGCATTCAGCTATTCACTCATTCATTTTCCACTTTTCCCATACTGAGGCTTGAGATTGGACACAGGAATGTGGCCGACTTATGCCCTCGCTTCCAGCCTCACCTGCTCCCTCTCTCCCTGGCTGTTTTGTTTTGTTTTGTTTTGTTTTTTTGGACTCTCCTGGGATGGAAGGGAATTCGGGATGAGAGGCAAGGGGATAGGACAGTTCTTGTCAGACAGGACAGACCCAGAGGATGATACCGCCAACCATTGCAGGACCCTGTCTCCACAACTCTGTTGACTCCCATGAGACCCTCCACTACCCAGGCTGGCCTCGGCCCTTGGCAGTGGGAGGTGGGCACCCACACCATGCATCATCATTTCTCTTCCAAGGATCCTTTTGTAGGACATGAAACTGCTCCAGTAAATCTCTCTTTTCCCGCACCCTGCATCTGGTCATGCACAGCTCGCCCACCACACCTGGGCATCAGCCCAGCATGGCTCCTCTATCCTGCTGCCCCTGCTTGTCTAGCTTTTTTGCCTTTGTTTCTCTAACCCCATGGAGCACATTTCCTTATCATATGGAAGCCCCTTCCTGGTGAAAGGTAAGAGACACAGTAATCCTGACACCTTGGCATGGGTTGGGGATATCCACAGCAAGGTAACAATCCTCTACAAAGAAATCTCTCACAAATCCAAATCCTAACCTTTCATAGTCTCCAAGTGGGTGAGATAATGGAGCAGTAGTGGAACCAGTTTCTAACCACTTCCTTCAAAAATCTGCAAATGGTGATCTGGCTTTGGAATTTTCTGTCTCATCAAAGATGGTTCTTTTTTTTTTTTTTTTTCCTTTTTGTCTTTTTTCGTGACTGGCAACAGATTGCAACCCTCA